TATGGTGCTAATACTGACAGTGCTCACTGACGATGCCGGCGAAGCGTCTAGGAATATATCACGTCCACGGTCGGCCTCTGGAACTTGTCATGCATACTATCGACTCATGACTGGGTGAGTTCTTCTAGGTGTTCCTAACAATATGACCAAATTGTGAAAACAAGGTCAAACAACTTCAATGCAACGACAGAAGACTGCGACCATACAAAAGGCCACATCAACTTGGTCTACATACCTTTGATTCAAAGTATTGCTCATTCATAATATTGGCACATATAATCTAAATCGCACGCATCAGCATTGGAGAAGCAAAAAAACACCTGATTTTGGTGAAGATGGCTGCTGTTTGGTTATAAGCGCTTCAACTTTTTTAGTCACCCTAAGCTATTTCCATTATCTGCAAGCCTATATGAAAAGCAGGAAACAATTAAGTGAGGCATAATTCATTGAAAGAATTTTAACATTATGAAGCAATTAGGCTTACGGCCGGCCACTCTATTTGTCTTATTTTTAGGGCAAGTTTCCTATAAATAGTCTCATGTTTAGGCGATGTTTAGTCTATTCGGTCATGGCGGACGAAAGCTCTGTTTGGATTTATCTGGTAGCTCGACAATAAACCTCAAACTATTTGGCATAAATCCATTAGCACAATTTCAATGCAATCATCGAGTGTAGATAAAGCAAACCCTTCTTTTAGAAATAAGTGAATTATCAGCAGCAACTACTAATCACTCCATTTTTCCAAAAATTTTTGGCATTATTACTATACCTCACTGGACAGGAGGTAGTAGTGTTGTTTATTATTAAGAAGAAGTTATCGCATAAATACGGATTTTCCTCTTTTCTGACAACAAGAATCAGCTCACCTTCTGTTCGGGGGATATCATCACCAGTTTAAGTAATTATACTTATTTTTATACTCCAACAATAAGTTAAAACTCTGCCAAATTCAATCCTCTACTGTCCATTAAACTTTCTTATTATCAACTAAGCATATTTATCCTAATGCTGCTGAATCTTCAATATCTAATTAGCCCCCATAAAAATATAACCCTTCTATTATTACAGAAGTGGTAAACACACAAACAATGAAAACCTAGATGAATAAATAACACACCTACCGTCAGCTAGGTCTTTACAGAGCTTAGTGATGCGCGCTTTGTCGAAGGAAGTGTAGAAGAGTGGTAGCAAATCCAAGGCGCTACTGGCACCAAAATGTTTGCGAATTGCGCGACTGCAATTGTCAAGCGAGAAAGTTGGCAACACTAGGCCTTGATCAGCATCAACAAAAGCTTTAATGGCCCGATAGGATATGAAGTAGGCTGATGGGAAGTAATAGGGATTAGAACTCCAAATTAGTTCATAAAATAAAGAATATGGATACCGAAAGTTCAGGTTAAAATACACTTTTATTGTGCTCCTTTAGAAAACTATAATTCGAGAGAAACAAATCCATTAACAATAGCTCCCCTGTTATTCAGCTTTTCAACTTATTTTATTTGATGTCAAAGGTATAATGTGAAACTCATCTATAAAATAGACTTAGGCATGATTCTCAGTAGAATCAATTCAAGCAGCGGAGTAATCATAGGAACAGCATAGTCATTATAGCCAAATAAGTATTCAGAATTAATTAGTGGAGATAAATTTTATAATTGAGTCAAATAAGATGAAAAAAAGAAATGGATATGATTACTTAGTGTGATTTCAGTGTTGGCGCTCCCCCTGCATGCTGAATTCTAATCGTACTGGTTCATAGCATCAGGAAATTGGTTAGTTAAAATAGATATTTTGTCACAGGATTCCCATCCCTTATAATGTCTTTTATGAGCAAAATCAAAAAGTGTAGTGAATACAACTTTTTGTTGAAATTAAAAAGCTATTATAAAGGAGTAGAACCAGAGAATTATAAATATTTTATACAGTAATGATTACCCGAACCCTCATCTCCCAGGAAGCTACCAAGTCCGCCGGTGCAAATACATGTCAGGTCACTACGAATCAATCTGCAGTTGGACCCAGTGCCTGACACGAGCACAATTCCGCCTTAAGTAAAAATGAAAATAGAATGCAATGATGACTAGTTAAAAATTTCACTAGTAAAGATATAAAAGAAAAATATTATTTAAAAATTTTAAAACAAATATAAAGATCTAGATGATATGAATTTATGCTAAAAAGTGGCCTCCTTCGACAAATCAGAATGAAGCTAAACCAAATGCTTCACAATCTTTGTCTCATACGTGATCGAACGTGGTACATAGAATGAAAAGAAAGCACTGACAAAAGATACTCATAGAAGTCATTTCCATTATATTTTACCATTTAATCTCTTCGAATATCATCGGATCAATCTGAATCCCTCCTAAGAATTAAATGAGACATTAAAATTCAAGTAAGATTGACTACAGGCTGCGTCTACCAAATAGAGAAAATGTTAAAACGGAGATAAGCTATTCAAATGCTTGAGAAGTAAAGCTAGATTGAAATTTGAGCCTTATTTTTCTGAAATTGCATGAAAAGGCTAACAGTATGTCAAAATGACAAGGAAAAGGATAGTAGAAAGTATCAGAAGTATTTATTTAAAATGGAATTTAAAGGAAACTCATGAGCAAATATAAAAAGATAGAGGAAAAGGTAGCTGAGTTAATTAAAATCACATATTCTATGAATAGGAAGGGTAAATTGTTGAATCTTCCTGCAATTCACATTGATGCTAAAAGGTAAGAATTACATTTACGTTTTATAAGTAGGTATTCGAGACTACAATTAGATCATCTATCTAAAAAGTGTATTCACCCTATTTTTTTAAGGTGTTATAAGAAATAGGCGAGGTCGAAGTTGCAGACCATCCTGGATAAGAATATCTTTTGGAAAAGCAAGGCTATATGAAATTCAATGTAAATGTAAGATCTACCAATATAATTGTGGGAAAAATTTAACCATCAATCTCCTTATCATCTTAAACGAAATAAGGGGAATACATTTCATATATAGAATCAAATTTTACTATACAGAACAAGGACATAATGGTTGACACACCGTTGGATTCTAAGAGCTTACAAAAAGTTATAAGAAGTGTATGGATTGCATATGGCACCCAAAGAGATATAAAAAATTGCGGCACAGCAAGAACCTCGTGAGACCAGCAATATAACTGGGATACGTAAATCTTGGTATTTCATTTACCAAGCAATCCTATTAGCACACTAATTGGGGCAAACACTAGTGATGACTAGAAGTCGGCAGATGAAGGAAATTGATAAAATACTCAGAATACCATTTGCTGAGTGCAACTGAATAAGTAAATTGTAAGGATAGATAAAATCTTGTAAAAGATAAGCATAAACAACGAACTGAACAAGTATCCTCTTGACTGTAAGACTGTTGACAATACATAGATGGCTGAAGTGCAGAAACTACTTAGAGTGATAATCAACAGCAGAAAAGGCAAAATAGACTGAGAAACTATCCGGCATAATAAATAACCAATATAATTTTTATGAATGATCGCTAACATGAAATTCGAGAGCGCAAAACTGTTGGTAAGTTTCGACGTGGGATCCTTTTAGAAAAGCATTTGAGACGAAATACATCAATATTGAAGCTGTGGTAAAAATATCATATACTGGGAGCATAGGATCAGTTAAAAACCGTTGACTAGCTTAAAGAGAAAAGTGATCTATTTAATTTTAAAAGTCGAATATAAAAAGATATTCGATTTTTCCATGAGCCCTTTTAACGATTGTCTGTATGAATAAATTGAAGAAATAAATCAAGATTCTACCACTGTAATCCAAATGAATCATGAGAACAAGTGAAACGTACAGTAGACTAGGGTGAAGCCAGATGACTATTCGTCCTGGAAGCAGAATCTATTCGCACTGAAGGATAGGTTGTTCTGAAATACATCGTAATTAGACTGCCAATTATACCTTATTGCAGGATGAGGACCTAATAGGTCCAGAATATAATTAGTAAAGATAAAACTAAATGAGGAAGAAAGGGACGAAGTACAAGAAGAGCTAAATGATATTTATCTGTAGGTGTAGTCCTTTTGATTCCACCTGGTGAACTACTACAGCTTGCTTAGATGCCATCTACCGCCTAAGCTAATCAATGAAGCAATGGAGATCAATTCTCGATTAAAGTAGAATAGTGGAATAGGGAAAATTTAGTAAATATATAAATATTTGGACATGATAGTTAACTATTAGAACTCAAAAAAAAGCAACGATAAGAAAGCGCATTGTTGAAGGTTACAATGTATACATCATAAAAAAGCTCTTGGGCAGCAAAGGGAAATAAGCAAGAGAACCCAAGTTCGGTGAGATGAATTAAAACAAGGAAGTGAGTGGAGAAATAAAAAGCATAAGATCATAAATGAAAATAGCAGATGGCTTGGTGTTGAATATGACCATATTCTTAAATGAAGTGAAAATGAATTCACTTCTCCAAAGAGATTCTAGACCTCCAAATTCGTACAGTCTGCCTAAAATC